TTACTTCAGTTAGATCTTTCTTCTTCGCGCAAAATTCCTGTATATATCGATCAAAAAAAAAGGAAACATTTGTAAAACAACAAACTCTTTAACTTCGTAGCCTAACGAATATTTGTTATCTTATAAACCAACCTCACCAACATTGCTCATTGCAAACAATATCATGCCTGTTATGACGAGAAAATCGCCGAACAGAGGATTCGAACTGAACCACCTGAAATGTGAGCTAACTAAGTTTGGTTATAACAAACGATCTCCATAAATCACTAACTTAAAACAAAGGGAATATTAGTAATTTCAAAAATTTGTCTGCACAAAAAAAAGGGACGTTTAAATTTCACCTCCACCACCACCACCACCCGAACCAGCATAAGAAAAAAGAACGAGGCAAAGGCCCGTCACGCAAACTGCTGCACCAAAAAATTGCCAACCAGAATATTTCGTGCCCAAGAAAATCCACGTGAGAATAATTGCCCAAGCTATCGTCCAACAATCGAGTATCGCCACACTTGTGATCGACGTGAATTGGAATGCTTTGTTAAATGCAGTAAAATAAGTGAATATCAGCATCTTATCCAATTTTAATAATTACTGCATCAAATTACGACTATCAAAGGTAAGATTACCGAAATAGTTGTCGTGGACTTCAACTAGCGCAAGGAGAACATACCAATACCAAGAAACCTATATTTCAACATTGTTTAAACCGTAAGTATATGCAACAATGTCATGGTTAGTTATTTAAAAATCTACAAGAAGTTCGAACGAATACCGGTGAAAAAACATGTATTTTACCAACAATTTTTTGCGGCGGTATAACATGACACTCCCATACACCACACCCAAGGACAAGTACGTTGAGAATGACAATGTAAGAGGTGCATCCACTGTATAATCAGCCCAATTGAATCATGTTAGGTGCAAATAGACTCAACTGTTAGATACTTTTTTTAGGAAAATGCTAAGGTCCTGTTATGGAACCATTCCATCATATTTGTAACCATCATATCATCATGTAACTGTCAGAGATAATTGATCAAACGGTTACA